GAACAACCTGTAATACTTTGGTACTTTAAGACCCACAGAGAATGAATGGTTTAGTTTTGGAACGTTTTTAGCATAAATATATAGTTGTATAAGTTTGAATGGTTTAAGTGAGTTTGTAGAAATCTACTTTAATCCTCCTTCAGATTGACCACAGTTTGTCACATTTTATATTTCACTTATTTTGCTGAATTTATAGCATTACTGTATAAGAACAAATCAAACAAATAAGACCTACCACTTGACTTTAAATTTTGTTTTTTTCAGAGCTGGTGCTTAATGCGGAGGAGATCAAGAGTCTGTACGAGTTTGAGGAGCAATGCGTGGAGGAATACTTCAGAGAGAAAGAGGATGAGAAGCAGTCCTCCAACAACGAGCGAATCAGAGTCACATCTGAAAGGTCAAAAATCGCTCCTGAAACATCCTAATGAACAGCAACCGCTCTGACATCATGGCTTTAGTTAACTTGGAATGAAGTAAACACCATAAACGTCTTATTATCGAACATTAAAGGTATTATGGAGGATTTTATGGAATTTGAAAATGCATGTGCGAGGGCGTGCACGAGCCCATTTCTCTTTGTGCACGCTCTGTTTAAAAGTTGCTGTTCTCACAGCTCATACAAGCTTCCTGTGTCCGACCGTCCGCTCTAACCCCTATATCCCTCCATCACCATAAAGCGGGGACTATATAGTGAACTCAGTTAACTTACCGTTCAGACAGATGATCACTTCCCCGTTGGTCCACTGCGCCATCTTCGTTATTAGTCACCTCTCGGGTGGCGAACGCCTATGGCGACTGCAGGCCGCTGTGACAGCAAATCCCAAAATGCTTTGCAAGGAGAGCTCACCACGCAAAGCATTCTGGGATATATCTGACTCTTCTGAGGCCTTTCTCTTCTTCTCATACACTTTGTAGACACTTTTTCTCTTCCGACCCTCGGCCATTTTCAAAAAACCGCGATGAGGAAGGTGAGCTTCAATGACCGTCTGAAACCGTAGCTCACCACAGATATACGCCTGAAAGGAACAGATAGCTAACTGGAGGAGCACGTAGGACGGCCTTAAGTTAACGCAATACCAGAATGATTGACAGTTAGGAGGACCAATTATTTAGATGATCCACCTGGAAATAAAAGATCATCCTCTACACCTCTTTACCAAGTAACTGAATTTTGATGTAGTACTCTGGTTTTCTGTCTGTAGTTTAATCTCTGAGGCATTAGCCAACACTAATATTGTCTTTTCCAGGGTGGAGAACATGTCCATGCGTCTGGAAGAGGTGAATGAAAGGGAGCACTCCATGAAGGCATCCCTGCAGACGGTGGACCTCCGCCTGGCTCAGCTGGAGGAGTTCTCTGGTCGGATGATGAACGCCCTGGAGAAGCTCGCCGGCATTGACCGAACCGAGCTGGTTCGTACAGGATCCAGGGCATCGTCCGTATGCGGGTCGTCATCTCTCTTACGGCACGGCAGCATCAACAGCGTCGACGGACATAGCCTGTACCGGTACCAGCTAGACCTTGACGACAGGATGACGGGAGATACAGAGCACAAAGGAGTCCGTCTAAGTCCTGAAAGAAAAGCAACTAAGTCAGAGGGAGGAAATACAACAGGTAGAACAAAGATGTTATACAGTTCCCTTTGGCAACTTTCCCTTTCTGTGTAGACAGATGCAATCATAACAAACTGGCAGAAATGTCGCCATGTTGGTCTCTGGATAGTTTTCTGTTTCTGTTGGCCATCATCTGTATGGTTGTTACAGATAAAATATCTATCTGCCATCAGATCTTTGTTGTCAAGAGAGACAGGAGGGTGTTTTTAAGACTCAATCAAACTTCTCAGCATTCACCAGGGGCCAGTATCAGATATCTGGTGAGAAGAGTCTTTATTGACTGTCCTACCTCAGCGTTAGGAGCAGCAGTACGGTTTTTATCCCGGCTGTGAAACAGTGAACCAGCTCTTCGTTTTGCTCATTGTGCTCCGGGGTTTATAGGAGTTCAACTGATACACATGAGTTATATGGACCTGGAGGTCATTCAACTGTGTCCTTAGGGGCCATTTACTGGGGCTATCCAGTCTCTGTCCAAGAGAAGCGTGAGTCTGGTCCATATGGCATTAAGTAGGACCTTTTCCCAGTGCAAGTTGGGCGCTGACCAGAGCTGGTATCTGTCACTGAGCGTCTGTCACAGGATTTCTAGACGCAACCGATTGTAGGGGTTCTGATTGGAGACCGGATGGGTTTTTGGTGTTTGTGGCTCATTACTTCCCCAACTGGATGAGGAGTAAATTACACCCCGTTTCTGTTTTATCGTTCGGAACTACGAAATTCATCATTGAAGAAAGGGGTCAGAAAAATGTTCTCTATGTCCATTCCCAGTTTCTTCCCATGTTGACCCCAAACACTTGGCTGGTTTAGATCGTATTTGTGTGACAGGTCCGAGTTTTTTCATTTTCATGCTGCATCTTACTGACACTCAGGAGTTGTTTATAAATCCCCCAGAACTTAGATGTGTATTTTTTAATTTACAAAATGATCAGACAGTCTGAGATAAATTTCTAGTTTTGCTGATTAGACTCAACAATCCTGATCAATTTAACAAACTACAGGAAGATGAGGTAACAGTAATTATGAATGGCAGTAACGCTGAGCAATGCTTGAAGGGATTCTGCACCAGAATATGAAAAACAAATGATGATATTTTGTCCTTCCTGTTTCTAGGGGGCCTTAAGGATCTCGTTTCAACCCTTGAAGTCGGAGGCGTGAGGGACAGAGCCCAGTCTCTATCCAACGTTGACATCTTGATCTCCCCATGTGACCTCAGCAGCTCCTCTACTCCGCCACATGAGGGTCTTACAGGTGCAGCGTTAAACAAATCATCACTGAAGGGTCAACTGGAGGCAGTTCCATCATTTCCTGTGGAGAGGTCAAAGGTTACAACATCTTTATCATCCCCAACACAAGATAGCGAGAAGCCTGTGAGCTCCATCATCTGCAGCCCCATGGAGCACGAGTGGCTTGACCGTCCGCCATCTTCTCAGGTGATAAAAGGAAATGACAGAGCAGGAGAGGAGGGATCCGAGGTTCCAGGTCAGGAGTCGATAGGCGAGACTGTGATCGAAGATGAGGAGGAGCAGCTGCTGGTGTCCGAAGACAGGATTTACCCAGCGCTGCGCTCCAAAAGTCTCAACACCAACCCAAGGAAAACAAGGACTAAGAGACAAGAGCAAGAGGAGAAGCCTCGCTCAGCTAGCAGTGTTAAAGACTTGGTGTCAGTGTTCAGGGGGGGTCAGGAGGCCCCCGACCAGAACCAGAGACTCTGAACCGTTTATCCTGAGACCAGAATGGGGTCTGAACTCAGCAGAGGTTGCATTAATATGACTGACTGATAGGCCTCCACTGGATGTGGCTCTGTATTCCCTTCAATGTTGCTGATACGGTTTTAAAGCAGGCTGTGCTGTTGGGGGGGGGGCATGACCTAAATCATAAAAACTTGAGGCAACATTTAAAAATTGCATCATAAACAATAAAAACACTTATATGTGTTATCTTTTACATAATCACTAAAGGTTTGCATTAAATTTCCGGGTAGAGATTAGTTCCTAAACCCTCCAGGTTTAATCCTGTAGGTCGGAGGTCTTCAACAGGGGGTCCGTGACCCCTAGGAGGTCCTCGGAGGTACTGCATGGGGGTCACGAAAGTTTTGGTTGATTAGACTTCTTTTTTTCCACTAAATGAAATGTCTTTAAATCCACATTAACATGAATTCATCACTCTGTAGTAAACAGATAAATGGGGGCTGAAGATGTCTTTCAGATATCAATGCCAGTGGCGGTTCTAGACCAAATGTCTGTGGGGACCAGGAGGGGGCCAGCGTGTTTTCATGGGGGCACAGAAAAGTATTAAATAAAAAACAGGGCAAGGGATTCAAATATATTAAGAGAGCTGCATGAAATGAAATTTCTATTCAATTAGGTTTAATTATTAAAATTCTATTTCTTGTTAGATCAATAGACATTCATAAATTTGAAATTTTACTTTTTTTTTATACTTAATTTGAGTTAAAATTATGTTTTTTTCTAAAAATCTGAATTAGAACTTGAGAAAAATTGATAAATTCTGCCATAAAAATTAGAGGAATTTGTTTTGAAAAAAAAAAACATTTAGCAGATGATTAATTAGGGGGGTCCCCGCTCCATCTCGCCAAAGATTTGGGGGTCCTTGGCCTGGAAAACGTTGGAGAGCCCTGCTGTAGGTTGATTCTTTGTTGTCAACACCTCAGCCTGCCGTCTGATGTTAGCACCTTTGTTAGCAGTGGCTACTAAAAACTTGGACATGGCAAGTAGGTCCTCGCTCAGATTTCTGAGACTCCAAGACCAAAAGATATTAAAACTTTATATAAAAGATGTTAAAACTTTAAATGGCTAAATTATCTGAACAAATACAAGATTTCAAGTGTTTTGGAATCTATAAAGAACTGGATTTAAAGGAGACATTTGTAGAAAAATAACATTTATAAAATTAAATTTTTGGAAATCCTGAAGTCTAACAACAGATGTTTGAAATATTGGAACGTGGTTTAGACCAGGGGTCCCCATCATGGTGCCTGTGGGCACCAAGGGGCCCTTAAGGGCCGCTCAGCTTCTTCTGAAAACAGAACAACTCACCAGTTTTAAATGGGATTTTATTCTGATGCTTTTCTTTTTTAATCATTTAAAAAACTAATATTTAAAGAAAATTAGAATAAACAATAAAAATCAGTTTATTATGCATGAAGTTTAGCTGAACGTTGACTCATTCATTCAGTATTAGATGGGAACTCCTGGTTTAGACCTAAAGATGCTTAGAACATCAGAACGTAGCATTTTTAGAACATTGGAACGTTGTTTAGAAAAGAAGTTCTGAACATCGGGCCTGTTTTTAAATGTATATGTAAAATATTTGAACTAGAATTTTAAAAAATTAAAGTTTATTTAAAGTACAGGATATTTAAAACATTGGAACTTTGTTTAGAATGTTGGATGCTTAGAAAATTGAAGGATATATGATGATGGATGTTTAGACCATTGGAACATTGTTTATCACATCAGATGCTTAGAGTTTAGAGTGTTGGATGCTGAAGGTATAAGAACATTTTAAAATGTTGGATTCTTAGAACTTTGTCCTGAATGATGGATGTTTAGAACAACATAATTTCTTTTAGACCGATGGATGTTTAAAGGATTAGTTGTCTGTGCTGATTGATGACGGTAACATTGGAAATATTTGAGGTAAGTTGTTACTGTGGAGGTTTGTAGATAAATCAAACACTTCCTCTTAGATAGTTTTGCCCTGTGGATGTTGAAGGGAGTTTTTATTCAATAAGTAGAGAGCATGAGAAGTGGTTGATATCTGACACACATACTAAAGCAAATGCATTTAGAGAACTGCTTTTATTATTATTACAGCTAATACAGCATTCTGCTCCAAACTAGTAGGAGATGAAAAGTGACCAGCACTCCTGAAATATGGCCCATTTTCTATGAAACTTATGCAACTCACTTTTAAAGATTTTTAACAATTGTTTTTTTTTTCAGCAT